AGTGGTGAAGTAGTCGAGGGCCAATATATGCAAGACTTTATTTCTTGTTTTGGGATACTAACTCAAATTGATCATGTCTAAGAACCCTATCGGATTTGTGCCGACAGAATAAAGGAAGTACAAATAGAATTCACGCATGAAACGAAAGCAGATTTGGACTGACAAAGTGTCAAACTTTGTTATCGTAGCTCAGATAAAAATAAATTCACATTCATTTGATCGCCGAGCTGCACATGCGGTGCGTAGGTCGTATCGGCTAATGATCAAACATTCACAAACAAATCTCCAAGCTCCGCGATCAGGAGAGATTTATCGCAGATTTGCACTCTCTTTACTGAAACATTGGCAAGCAGTTTGGGAAAAGAAAAAAGGGGTAAACTGATGAACAAACATGGTTCCCAATAGAATACACGATCTACTTATGTGATGTACATAACTATCGGGTCAATAATAGAGTATATTGAGTTCTCCTCTGTTGGTACGAGTAATGTAACACATGAGGATCACATAGCCACTTCAACATTACGTCCAACAATAGAGCCGGGAACTGACCTAGTTCAAGGCATTTAGATACACCCGAGAAAACTGTATTGTCTTGCTCATTCTACTTTTTTTCCTAGAGCTGATTGCTCCTGAAAGCCTGCAGTGCCGGTTATTTTCGCTATCTGATCAGATTGGTGCATCAGCTGCTCCTGGCTTGATTGGAAGATAACAATGAGGGTTTGATTAATCGGTGTCTTTATAATTTCCGTTACATTATGTGACCTCTATCCCAAACGAAAAGAAATATCAGGCTGCTTATTTAACCGATCCGACAGAAAAACGATCATTTATTACAATAAAATATTGTACTCTTCATCAAATTTTGAGGAACTGAATTTTGTGTTCCGTAAATTTTTCGCACTTTGGGCAGGAAAAAGCCCTCCCTTCTAAGGATTTTCCCCATTTATGTTACGAATTTTCCAATTTGTAAACTGAATTTTTGTTCTCTCTCCATGTTTACCCATCCATAACATTGATGCCTGCTGTGAGTACGTATATGATTTCGGTGACCGTAGTTGACCTCCGTCAAACATGTCTACTCCATTCCAGTTACCGAACCTTGAGGAATCCGTAAAAATCGCCGACCGAAACAATTTTCCATTCATTCAACCTAGAGATCACTCTCATTTTATTGTCTAACTGAGAATCGTTGTGTTTCCTGAAATTGTTAAAATTTAATCAGGTTTTTTGGCATGTCCACTTAGGATAAAAATGGCACTTATCAGTTTTATCGGCATAAATTCGTCATGAATTGTATAACTGTTCGAAAACAGACTGCATATTTTTACAATTAAAGTAGTCTCTTGTGTTTTCAAATTATTCATCTGTGTGCAAGCTAACATAAAATGATATTCGTATTACCTTTTCGCTTCAGTAAAATAAGTTGCCCATACAGAGCGTAAACGTTGTCTAAGACCAACCTATTAATTGCTCTGTCAGTTTGAATCAAACAACATTTGATGTCGAATGATTCGCATTACTTAAACCAAGAAAACTTGAGCACATAATGTTAACAACTGTTGTACGCAGCAGTTGAGCTGTCGTCCGGATCCAAAGAAAGCCATATTTTTGGGGTTTTATGTGATTCTCCATTCCAAGTCCCAGGGTGTGGGTTGTCGGTTCCTATGACTGACGAACAGGTCCTTGTGATTGCGAGATTCCCTCTATCTGAAGCTTATCACATAAGAATGTTGCACATCTGTTCACTTCATGTAAATTAGTTCTACCACTTCTATCACAACAGGTTTCGACTCGTAAGCACATGTTTATCTGGCATATGTGTGCGTTTCTATTTTATAGCTGAATGTAAACGTGCACGTAGCAAATAAACTGGAACAAACATAATTTCACGTGATTTCGACCCTTCTGATAAGTCACGTTTTGGATGACCATCTTTGGCCGACGATGTTGTTAGGTCCATGTTAGAGCAAGATCCCTTTCTGAAAACATCGGAGATCGCAGAAAGGCTAAATTTAGCTCAGTAAACCATTTCAGACTGTTTTCAAAAATAGGATTTGTGTGTGGTTATTCAACTTTGAGAAATTTTTTATCAACTGTATAGTTAAAAGACAGCAGTCCAATAAAACAGGCCGGCGATCTTCAATAGGAAGAACATTATACTTCGTCATGATAATGTCAAGCCACATGCTACTTTGGAGACTAGTCAAAAAATTGCAGAAATATGCTGGAAAATTATGTCACATCCACATATTCCTCAAACTTAGTAATCTCCGCGTATCACTCGTTTTGGTCCTTACACAAAAGAATCAAAAAGTAAGATGTCAAACAAGCATGGGTTCAATTTTTCACGTCAAAAGATGAAACGTTTTTCAAAAATAAGATACAAAAGTTGTCCTCATGCCGATAATAAACCAATAATAGTAATGGCAAATATATTAACTGCTACTGTTTATTGGCCGTAAAAAAATAGTGTCCTTTGTTTTATTCCAAAACAGAACTTTCCAGTAGACCTGATATAACTGTATTAGCCACAAGAAGAATTTATCCAAATCGAGCTTGTTCGCTCCTCGTGTTGTTCTGTCGGTCACATAAACATGTACTATTCAGATGTAATACTGATACAGACGTGATCTTACAAGAAGGCGTCATAGTAGTCATAGCCTTCTCACAATTGTTCTCCACTATTTTGAACGAAACAAATGGTATTCAGGAAGAAATGAAATATATCTAGCAACAAGTGACACTTCAGTCGTTGGTATCTTTACTGATGGAATAACCGCTATTGTTACGCTGATCTGACTAGCTGTCATTGCACCACGTTCATTATGCTCGAACAATGTTTATTAACTTCTGATTCATAAGGAGTTTTGTCCACATTTTCAACTGCTTCTAAACAGTTTATCTGATATTTGGTACGTGCGCTTTTGTAGACTATGTGCAATCTAATATCCGCATCAAATGGATATGAAAATAAGTTTTATTTTGTTCAAGTTAAACGTGGTGTTATTGTTTCGAACCACGTCAACAAGTAAATGTTTGAATGCGATCGGCAGCAATAATGCAAAGTGAAAAATGTCCAACCTGGTAGACATTGACTTATGAATGCAGCCCTCTGCTTTGTATGTATGCTAGAAGAATCGTAGATGAAGCCTGTATTCCCCCAATGCCATATCTCGGAGTTTTGTTTCTTTACACATATTCTTACGTAACAGCGGGCTTTACCCACTTAATTTAGGGTGTTTCCTTGATTCTGTCATGTAGTGGAAATACTTTTGAGTATGGGGCAACAGTTCGGTTGGAAAAAAGGGCTTGTGGATGAGGACGAGAATGTGTGGCGTTTTCCCTAATTATGTTTTGAAACTATGTGCTGCTGTTACTGGCGAACAGCCTTGTTCAAAGGATAGCAAGCTCTATGTCATACATTCAGTGATTTTTCATATATATATATATATATATCTGTGCCGACTAAAATTTACCGGGATGTGGACAGCCTTTAAATCCTTCGCTTGTCCAACCGAATCGATCCTAGTTTACATGATTCTACTTATGAGGTCAAGCACGTGTGCTGGAATCGCAATTTTGTAGCCTGTTCAAACACCAAAATTGAACTAAGGCCACAACCCCTCTCGAATGCCCTTTTATGTTTTCTAGATATTCTCACTACACAGACAGAGGAACCACTAACTAGGAAACAAGCCAACTAAAGCATTTGATTACAAATATCCAACTTTCTATGTGTGTTTACAATCCGTTTTACGGTAGCGTAGATTATAACTATTAATAGTATTACACCACAAAGATTAAGGTATTGTCGCCTCATTCTTTGAGAATAATGTTTCTTCCAATCGTCAGTTCTTGGGACAATTGTGAATTGTGCTGAAACTGCAATGCTCTCACTATTCGCAACCGCTCTAGCATAAAGATGTATATCGTCTATAAAACTACATGATGACATTGTAATTCTTGAGGCACAACAGACCATCTCGTGATTTTTACTTTCTCCGGCCCATGAGTTTTTGTTCCCATTAAACTTTAATTCAATACATCTCACACACAACGACCAGGAGTTATTTGTTAGACACAAATTGTATGAAACCACATCTATACAAAATTGTTTTAGCAAACTGAACTTGTTGAACAGTCATCATTTCTTGACAAAACGTTTTTCTTTTCAACAGAATTTGGCCAAAGGCGATCGGTCAGTGTCAAAGGTTTATAGCCCGCAGCAGTTTTGAGAGTAGCAATGAAGTTTCCAATATGCCTTGTCATCAACGCTGAAGACAGAGTGATCGAGTGACCGCGCAGCGTAGATTTTTTGTGTGCGAAGAACAGAACAATAATTACTCTAATAGTTCTTATGGTTGCTAATTAGCTCTCGATCCGAGTAATGACCTTCCAGCTAACTGGGTCAGTTCGAGGCGCGAACAACACCCGTTGTGGGGTTTTAGTGATACTCATCGTAAATGCATACAGCTGTGTTTCTGTGTGATGCGGGTCCTATTCATATTTTACCTGCTGTATAGATTATGATTAAGTTTGCCTGAGGCACACAGTGGAAAGGGTAAAATTATCGGTAAGGAAATTGAAAAAGGAACAATATTCATATTTTTTAAATGACTATGCAACATAAAAGCCAAACATTCTGTTAGGATTACCGTTGTATTACGTAGGTCAGTATATTGAGATATGCCTCAAGATCAGAGCCACATCAAAGCAAGGTTATCTGAGCATCGGTAGATGTGCTTTACTTAAAAGTAAAGGCGCATCTAGTTCTACCATTTGAACAATTAGTCTTATATCGTGGGAAGAAATTGAGCCGAAAGTCTAGGAAGCTTCACATTCAATGTGCTGAGTGTGTTCCTCAGCTGTGTCTATCAGGTATCGATGTCAGAAATGCTATACGGTTCATCCCAGTTTTTCAGTTGAAGTTAACTTTACTTTGTTATATAACAATAGCTTTAATTTTACAGCTTGTTCTAACAAATCCGTTCTTTCTTTCACATGTTAGGTACACAGGCAAAACAATTGGGTACGCACTCGTTCAATTTTGGTTCCAAACTGAGCATACAGGTAGAATCGCAATGGGTTTGCAATGCGGGTGCTGACTTCGGACCGGTTGGAACTTCTTCGAACACGTCCTCATAGACAACCTGTTTAATGTCTTCACTCAGTTGAGCAATGACAGGTGATGTTGTCGAAGCATGCTGCGATTTATCTGGTCTCCGTTTTAGGGTGGAAAATCGACCAAACCGCGAGAAGCCACCTCGTTCAATCATGGATGAAGATGCAGTGAGACTGAACAATGCAAAATAGAATTTGGCGGTTTGTGACACAATGTGCCGTAAACCTACGTTTGAGCAAATTACAACAGGTGGTGAAGAACAATATGGACGGAACACAAAAAATGTATCAATTACTCCAATGGCATGCTACCATATTTCCTGATATGACGGTAGGATTACAAATAACGTCAAGCAACCATGAATCATTAGACTAAGGGCATAAGGGGAAGGATGAGCGGTTTCCTATTTGAGGTGATACAAATGGCACAGTGTATCAGCAGTTAAACACAATACTTGTGTCCTAATAATCTCCATGGACCGCCGGCTTGATTACATGGAAACTTTATGGCCACATACTGTTTGGTACAAGTATTACTTATGTTCTGTAAACGCAAATCAAGCTATGGTACCAGAACTTCTTTTATTCTCCACGGAATATATATATATATATATATATATATCTGTATATACCTATTTATATAAATATGGCTATGCTGCTCCAGTTTACTCGCCATGTTCATATGGATAGGGAATTCGGTAGCAATTCTGCAGAGAACAGTGTTCCGACTTCTTTGAAATTAATATTGCATAGTTAAGAAAGGAGCATAAGTGGGGGGCTTGTGGTATCACGGCAGTCCACTGAGGAACTGAATTGGACAAATAATTCACGCCTCAAACTAAGCTTCCCTTTGTTGAGATCCGTACCATGAATCCGAACACTGGGTGCATCGGAGAGATGCGCCGAAGGAAAGCAACAACAAAAGCATCTTGAGTCCCTGATTTTTTTATCCGCGTCTAATTTTTAACCTTTTGGAGACTCAACATGCATAACACTGTTGCTTGGACATTGACATTTTGACCTCGCGTTTGAAGTTGTATAGGTATGAAACCCCTCGCGTTTTGCACAAAGCGTTCTTTGTCTGTCAGGAATCAAATGAGTGTGGCTTGCTGTTCTCCATCAAGCTCACGGTAGTTACCAAAGTTTTCATAGACGAGTTATAGACGTAATGTACCCAGTTCTTCGGAAACATTAACTACAGCACATTTTTTTCAGTTATTGTAGCACAGTTCGTTTTGACATCACTTTTATCTACAAAGAATACAAAGAATAAACAAAATACTGAAACAGCACAAACAGGCGGATATGATTGCGTAACACATGACCCGATCTACTAAGTAGCTGAAATCAAGTTTAGCAATAACAACAAGCTGTTCTCGCAAAAATCGCCCAAGAAAAATAAACGGTTAACCTCCGTGGTATTAGCAGCCTCACACGTTCCCACACTTGACAAGCAAATAGTCGCAATTTCTGAGAACATATTCGTGACTGACTTGAGAATCCTTATACAAATGAGACAGGTAAGGCTGAGTTTTCCATCGTTGTTTTACCATTCCTACTCTCCCAACTTTAAATAAAACTGTGTTGCTAAATATTAGAGTAAAACTATATGTAATTCAATAATTACATTGTTCTTCGTGTATTTTGTTTCTGAGCATTTGTGCAGATTAATGTTTTAACTTTGACATACTTTTATTAGCTTGGGGATTTTAGGATTGCTGTGTGAGCCAGCTTGAGCAACATTTCCATCTTCCCAAAACTCACGGATTAATACCACGTGATCAGTGTTCTTGTTTTTGTTCTGTTCTCTCTATTCGATGTACAGACGTCGATCAAAAAGGATTAGAGGTGGAATCTCAATCAGATCGGACGTGATCGGAACGAGTATATGCATAACCCACCCCTCAAATCCAGGGTTTCTGAAAGCAGCTTGAAACATCAGTCAGTTTTCCATGGCCATCACGAAAGATTCGACAAAGTCATTCCTCTCCTCCCAACCGGATCATGCAGCAATGTGATGACTGCGGTGTGAGTAACATCCGGATAGGGAAATCAAAATTTTGATTGTTCGTTTTCTCAGTTTTTAATCAATTCTCATCGAGTAGAACAAATTGCTGCATGCATTTCCGGCGTTAGTTTACCGAGCATAATGATATTTTAAACTGCTTTATTCGTAAGCATTTCCAATTTTAATGATCCATTCAGGTCAATCCGCATTAATTTATATGAGATATTTTACCGGAATCTAATCTGACTCACTTGTGAGAGGATCAAAAATTAAGGCTGGTTTGTAGTCTGCGCTCTAATGCAATCGCTGACTTTCAACAGCGTAAGCTCCGTCATGTTTCCAAATCAAACCCGCGTATTAGAAGTCACACCGTGTAGTGGAATATTCCTATGAATCTGTTTTTGTTTTACCTGATGAGGTTTTCCTATGTTCACATTCAAAAAAATTGTGGTAGACGTAATAGGTTCTTGTTGAACACCTGGTCAGTTCAATAGTGTACTATTGGCCAGGAATATGTGAATACCTGGTCGTGATTTATGTCACATCGCATTGGTTGAACAGGCACGTTACGAATTTCGTGAAGCAAAACAACATTTCCCTAATTGCTAAGTTAATGATGATAATTGATGCAAAAAGCTTGGTTACACTGTTCACTTTCTGGGAAACAACAACAAGGGTTTTGCTCGCCCTATCGATGTACGGCTTTAAATGATGGTTGCATAACTGTCTTACTTCGGGTAAGTTTTGCAGTCTGTTTGACTCAGTTCACCTGAGAAAAACCGCTTTTATTATGATTATCTGTTTACCGAACCCTCTTTGAAAAATAGTGCATGTATCTTACACGAGTCAAGCGTTGACCCAGTGTCATCATCGTTTGAGCATTTTCCATTCCGAATTTCCCACATAGCGTGCCGCTACACAACTGAATCTCTTATGGTGATTCTCTACCAACACTAGGCAGCATCGGACTCGGAACCTATCCTCCTATTGTGTCAGGACCAAAAATCACACTACCGATCGGGTTTGTTTATCGATCGGTCGAATGGTTCAGCCGCAACAAGGGACTTGGTGCTTGCCCAGCTAACCTGAGCCAGAAACCACACCTTTTTTTACACCTGCGAGTCTCAGGCAGGCGCAGTAAACTTCGACTGGGCAGCAGGAGTGCCATCAGCACACAGATGTATTGGACGTAACAACAAGAGCAATACAAAGCGTTAATCAGACAGTCTCGTGTTGGGGTGAGGGATTTAATGAGCCGCAGATCGCGGAATATGACCAATCAGATCACATAAAGGTTAAGAGTGAATTTATTTGTTTGAGGTCACGGGTGAGAGGAACAAGACGATGGTGCGATGGAGCAATCGCACTGTATAATAAGCACAGGTAGAAGAAAAATACTATATTTGTTGAATCGGTTTGCTACTCTCCACACGTTTTCAACCACAAATTTGTCTATAGTGATTTCTGCCTCTGATTTGCCGTTGTCTCGGCCCGTGCGTATTATCGATCATCAAATATGCACTTTTCGTACTTTCCATTTCTTCGTTCACCCACCAATCTCGGTTCTCAACTCCCCCCCTCCACCCCTATCTTCTCGTGACCGTTGTCCCTGACCCTGATATGGTGTTACTCATCCTACCCTATGATTATCATATGGAGTTGCTTAATCTTATTCGTATTGGTCCTCTGTCTCACCCATGCGTCTCACTGTCCCATGTGCACGTGTGCTCTGACGTTATTCATTTATCGCTTGTTCGTTTGACCGATGTGGTGAACTCCCTTGTTTGCACATTGGTTCACGATTGATGTTGTTTATTTCACCGGTTCAGGCATACATCCTGGAAACGCCACTATTTGAGATGTGTTGTTTATATAATTGTAACACTTAATAATTACAGTACAGCACTCTTAATCGCTACTGTCGAATAAACGTCCATCACTAAACAGCAGGTTCTCGTGACTATGGGGCTTACCCCGTCTGCTGTTCATCACACTAAGGTATGTAGTAAAAATACGCACTAAATACTCAAGTCTACAAGGCGTGTAAGTGACAATGACTCAACCAATGTGATAAAGGGAACAGAGTAAATTAAAAAAATACGAACATCAACGTCAACAATACGCCGACTTTCATTGACCTTAAGATTTTACATCACAATAAACTGAGAAAACATGCACAGAGACCAGAAAATGAACCTCAGAGCTTATGGATTCACGTATTTAGGAATATAAATATCATGATAATCCATAAACGTTTAAAGAAGCAACACAACTGAGTGATTTCAAAGTTAATGGTTATCGCTAATTGTTCACTCAAAAAACCGGGAGCCTCAGTCAACTCGATGTAGGATTTAGTTGAAGCGAAGTTTTATCATTTACGGAACAAAATGAACCGTCTGAATATCAAGTATGAATATTTTGACAGCTCGTGGTTGATAATGGATTAATGTGAAACCACAATTTGTTTCAAACCTTTCGGGTTTCTCTCACTAGCAATCAGATCAATGAGTTGGTTCGATATTGCAAAGGGAGATTGTTCCTTGTTTAAAAATCAAGCTTTCATCAACCAGCAAAGTGAAACAGTTTTCCACCAGTTCAGCTTCCGGATTCTACAGAATAGTGTATACGGAACAGTGAGAATCAGACGACCAGTAGAAGCCTGACTTCTCATTGATTTCATAGTTGCAAAAAGAATCTTAAATCATGCGTGCAATATTGTTTAACGCGTTCTACAGCTAACAGATTTGGGTTAAGCAACCTCAGCATATTGTAAATTGAGCAGAAAATTGTTGAACAGCTTTCTAACACAGAATCAACTAATGAGTGCGTATTTACCGAATATGCGACTGTCAAAAATGTTTAGGCTGTCTCTTTGCAAATGCATACCACTGCTAATTCGGTAATTTAAGTTAACTGAGTTTGACGTATTGCGGGCTGACCTTCCACGAACCTAGATTTTCAGATACATGACAAAACCGCTCAGACGTCGGCTGTAAATTGATGAGAATATGATGAATTCCAAAGTTATGCAGTTAATAACGTTTAATTAAAAACGATCGCAAGGATTGCAACGCCATTTTAATCTCTTAAGGTCAATTTGGTAGAGCAAACATTTAATCCATATTTGGTTTTTATCCCTTTCGTGAG